CCCCGGGCGGCCAGAGCCGGGGCCACCCCCCGCGGCCCCCCCGCTGGTGTCGCCCCCTCCGCCGACAACAACAGCAGCAGCTGCGGCTGAACCTCAGTCCGAACATCGGTTCTTCCATTCGAGTGGAAGCTGGGTTTAATTTTTGTCTCTCTTTGTTCTGTGCCGTTGACTTGAGCTAGCCGGGGCTAGAAGCTAACCTAGTTAGCCTAGCCTTCTCCCCCTGCATAACAAATATGGGTCAGAGACGGCGCACTCATGCAGACATGCACACATGTGTGCATGTCTGCATGCAGAGACAGACTGTCTGGTCCTCCCTCTGTGCTATTGTGGCTATTTCATGCAGGAGATTGTTTACATTTAGACAGAGGAAGAGGAAGAGTTAGGAGATGATGATGATGATGATGATGATGACGACGAAGGCAGTGTATGTGAAGTTAAAGGTCGTTGCAGGTGTTTGCAGCACAGAAGGAAGTGTGTGTGTGTGTGTGTGTTGTAACTGCGGTTTGTGTTGTCAGAGCACAGGCCTCAGATCAGTGAACATCCTGCCGTCTGCCCAGAACTGAGTACAGAGTACAAAACACCACACTGAACATGTACTGCTACTTGGTGATATGCAGTACTCACTCAGTGTCTGAGTACCAGACGGAGTATTACACTCCAGTGTTGACAGATACTATATTTGTCTACTCGAAACCCATTTACAGTTACATTCTTTGACTTCACATTCACAATGTTTGTGAAGGTTAACATTACAGGCATATGATTGGACGGTCCGCCTGTCAATCAAAACCATTGCCCTACTTTTTTTGAAAATGTTATTTTTTCAAAGTAGCCTCGTCTTCTGTAGACACATACAAACTAGTTTATCTCTACAACTGGCAGAGCACTTTTTTTCTGGACTTCAACCTGCAACCCCAACCTGTGACAAAGGTGGCGCTGTTTTTTTTTTTGTTGTTGTTTTGTTTTTAATAGGTGGTCTGTGGTGATGTCAGGAAGTGAACATAAAGTACAGAAAACTGACACTGTGGGAATGTTTGTTCACCCGTCTGTGATGTACTGTATATAATGACGAATATAATGTACGTAATTTAATAATGTAGTATAAAGTATACAGTATATGTAGTACTGTGATATGGTACATCAAGTATACACATGGAATGGATGAAAACCAGTTTTGTTTGAAGTTATAGTTCCAGGCAAGAATCCACTGAGATAACAATGTGTTTCTATAGAAAAAAAATTTAGGATCCGATCTGTAGGGGGAGCTATGTTACTGTATGGATGGTCAGTGTATAATAGCACAGAGCACCTTGGGGTTTAACGCTGTACACCTCCAACAAGGGAATGAGAAGTTTCTATAGTCATTTCTTTTTTTTTTTTCTTTTTTTTTATAAAGTCTGACCTTAAGGTTGTTTGAGAGTTTTATCAAGTTGACAGTTTATTTTTATTGCTAAAGGAAAGAACTGCCCTTTTCAGAAATGTCAGCAATTTGAAACACCACAGTTTTTCATGACTGAAACCCAGCGCTCACCACTGTTTTATCAGATCTGTGTGGAACAGTTTGATCTTTGGAGGTTTAGGGGCCTGTGTGACCCTGACGTGTGTGTGTGTGTGTGTGTCTCATCAAGCCCTTAAACTTCAGTTCACCTGAACCACTGGTTCCATTTGGTTGAATCTGTTTTGTAGCTTCGATGCTGCAGAGGGTTTTTTGTTTTTTTTTTAGTTCAGTTTCTGGTGTTGTTCTGGTCAGTGACGCTGTCAGCAAATGTCCCGTGAGCTCGTTTGTCTCAGGGGCTGCAGGCTGATCATGTGTATGTGCTGAGATAAGGACAAAGTCACTAAAGTACCCCACCACACCCACCCACCCACGCCCCGCAGA